TTTTTAAATAAAAAAGCTAGAGAATAGAGAGAAATACTGTTAACTGATGGTACATGGAGGGGATTATATTCATTATAATGAAACAAGGTGTTATGATTTGTTGAATGTGAAACTGATGATTTGCCCTGTAAACTTTCAATCTACAATAAATACCTTAAAAAAAAAAAAAAAGATGGAAGGAATATACAGTCACTGTACCCAAAAGAAATAGTCAGTGTTCAACCATTTCAAGAGGTAGCATAAGATCAAGAGTCAATGGTACTGAAGAAAGAAGTACAAGGAGCACTGAAGGCATTGGTAAAAACAAAACAAAACAAAGCTCTAGGAATTGATGGAATACAAAATGAAATCTTTCAGCTAACTATTGCAGCACGGAGGTACTCACTCATCTATGCCACTGGCTACCTGGCCAACAGATTGGAGGAGAACCATATTTGTGTCCATTCCAACGAGAGTTGACCCAATGGAATGCAGAAATCATTGGACAATATTATTATCACATGCAAGTAAAATTTTGCTAAAAATAATTAAACAATGGCTGCAACAGTGCTTTAACAGGGAACTTCCAGAGGTTCATGCCGGATTCAGATGAGGACACATAACAAGGGATATCATTGTTGGTGTCAGATGGGTCCTGGCTGAAAGCAGACAATACCAGAAAGATGTGCCAGGGTTGTATTCTTTCACCATAATCATTCTGTATGTTGAGCAAATAATTCCAGAAGCTGGATTATATGAAGTACGTGGCATCAAGATTTGTGGAAGAATTATTAACAACCTGCAATATGCAGATGATACAACCTTGCTTGCTGAAAGCAAAGAGGACTTAAGATACTTACTGATGAAGATCAAAGATGACAGCCTTCAGTATGGATTGTACCTCAATGTAAAGAAAACAAAAATCCTCACCACTGGAGCAATAAATAACATCATGATAAATGGAGAAAAGATTGAAGTTGTCAAAGTCTTCATTTTCCTTGGATCCACAATCAACACTCATGGAAGCAGCAGTCAAGAAATCAAACGATGTATTGCATTAGGCAAATGTGCTGCACAAGTCCTCTTTAAAGTGCTGAACAGCAAAGATGCCAGTTTGAGGGCTCAGGAGTACGAGCAATGATATTTTCAATAACCTCATATGCATGTTAAAGTTGGACAATGAATAAGAAAGACTAAAATAATTGATGCATTTGAGTTATGGTGTTGGAGAAGGATATTAAAAGTACCATGGACTACCAGAAGAACAAATAAATCTCTGTTGGAGGAACATATTTTAGACATATTATCAGGAGGGACCAGTCCCTGAAGAAGACCATGATGCTTGGTAAAGTAGAAGGTCAGCAAAAAAATAGGAAGAATATCAACAAGATGGATTGGCACAGTGGCAGCAAAAAGCACTCAAGTGTAACAACTGTGAAGATGATGCAGGACTGGGCAGTGTTTCGTTCTGTTGTGCACAGGGTCACTCTGAGTCAGAACCGACTTGATAGCACCGAACACTACCACCACCACTCCCCACAGAGTGTTAACTCCAAATTGCTTATCATGGTGCTCAAAGCCCCCCTACTATTTTCTCTACTGTACTCCACCACTTAGTTAAATCAGAATAGAGAAAATCAGGAGGCAAGGAATTTGATAGAACCACTAGGAAAGGATGCCTCCCCTTTTCCCTGTCTTTGGCATGGCTCTGTGGGATAATGTGCTGGGATGCAAGGTTGGTTTGAACAGTGGTTCAAGCTCACCAGATGCTCCTCAGAAACCGTATACAAGGTTGCTATGGGTCGGAACTGGCTTGAGGGCACTTAACAACAACAACTGTAGCCAAGTACTCCTTCTTCCTACTTATTTAGACTTAACAGTTTTATTCTTGGTAATTTACCTAGTCCCACAAGGTACATTCTTCACCTCATCTGTTTGGAGTGTGGTCTGGAACAGAGGAGACAAAAAACACTGTTAGGTGAGAAATAGTTCATTTATTTTTGGGAATTCCCAAATAGCCTTGTCCTTGAATACCTTTTTTTGGGTTGGGCTTTACTTGTCCCACCTGACCCAGTCTCAGGATTATTTGTGAGATTCAAATGAAATAATGTACATGAAAGTACTTTGAAATTGCTGTTGTTGTTGGGTGTCATTGAGTTGATTCCAACTTAGAGTAACACCATGTGACAGAGTAGAACTGCTCCAGAGTTTAAATTATTTCTGGAAGAGGCATTCTATTCACTCAACGGCTCAATAATTCCAAATCATCCATTAGCTGACACCCCAAATCTGCAGTCGTCCAACCACACACCATCCAAGCCAAGTATACCTGCACAGACTTATATGATGTGATGAAAGGGAGCATAAGATGGAAACCAGGGCCACTGGTTGATGTCAGCAAGGCACCGCCTCTGCAGAGGAGGAAGAGAAGGGGCAGGCTAAGTTAGCAAGAAGGCTCTCTCAGATACTTAAGCAATCAGTACCATTTGGACCAACTATTTCTTCAGTCCCATAAACATTCAATATACAGTGGCATGTGCCTGAGCCATATGTACAGATCCTTTTCTCTCATCGTTATCCTAATAGTCTAGTACACCTAATGGCAAAACATAAACTCATTATTCATACTTTTGTAAGGAGAAAAAATGAGCTTAGTGGAATACTCTCTTACTATATTTAGGGTAAGAGAGGAAGTCTGGTTTACTCTGTCATACCCACCAAACTTTTGGCAATCCATTTGGGCAATTAAATCCAGTAATGTAATTATCCATTAACTGCACTGATGCTGGAATACAGTGGCATGAGAAACCAAAGAATACTTTTAACTTCCCTTTGTAAGTCATTTAAATTTTTGTTTTAAAGGAGGCAGCAAAGGCACTTTTCTAATCACATTGTATATAAATGAATAGCAGAATTAAAAACTTTTTTTTTTTTTTTTGCGGGGGGTGGGGGCAATTTTAGACCCTGCTTTCGGCAATCCAGAAATAAGCACCACAGGGCACATATAAGGAGGAATTCATAAAAACTAGAAAGCAAAAAACTTGGTTATGAAGAGTACTAAAAGAGAAGCTGGTGGCGCTGTCGGACAAGCACTGGACTGTTAACCACAAGGTAGGCAGTTCAAACCCACCAGTCACTCCTTAGGAGAAGGATGAAGCTTTCTGCTCCCGTAAAGATTAATAGCCTCAGAAACCCTATACAGGCTCACAATGAGTTGGAAGCAACTCTAGGGCACTTAACAACAAAAAGAAAGCAACCCATGGTTTATAACCTTCTTTGCTTTGACATTATGACGTCCAAGATACTTTTTTTTTTTTAATTTGTAAGAGCAGTAAAACAATCAGTGAAATAATGGGCCCTTTTATTTTAAGAACTGCTATCCTGGGACTTGCCTTGACTGATATTAATCAAGCGGCAGGTCCTTTCATTTTTCTAGAAATGGTTATTTTAAAGAGTAGTCGAACGTAACCATTCTTTAAATGGGCTGAGTAGGTTGTCGTCTCAGTTTGCCTTCAGGAACTGGAACTCAGCTGACATTTGTGGAAGTAACCTACCAGCATGGAGACAAGAATCACAGACGGATATAGGAGAAAACATTTCTGGGATGATCTCAAAGGAGCAATGCTCTCCTTTAGGTTTTAAATCCATATACATGCTTATCAGTTATCATCCCTGGTGTTATCTGAGAATATTAAAGAATGTTTTACACTTACATATTTTGTTATTAAATGCTGTTGAGTTGGTTCCTAATCAAGCTGCTTGTGGGTTTGAACTGCCAATCTTGCAGTAAACAGTTCAATGCTTATTCTATAGCACTGTGGTGCTGTGGGTCAATGTGCTGGACTGCAAGGCCGGAGATTCAAGCTCACCAGCCAATCCTCAGAAGCCCTATCTATGCAGGGTTGCTATGAGTTGGAACCGACTTGACAGCATTAATAACAGTATATATATTTCCCCTTCATGGTCATGGATACAAAAGCTCAATTCAAAAAACTCCCTGCATCAACAAAATATATATCCAAATATTCAGCAGAATCTGCCAGACAGTGACTAGGAAGGGGAACCATTTAACAGAAAATGCAAACATCTGTCTGCCTCTGCCTTACCTGTAATAGACCCCAATATGTCCCTCTTCTATCTTGTGCACAGCAGAGAAGAGAGATGCACAAAAGAAACTGGCAGCCACTGCCACAATTGCTCCCAACTGAGCCATCAGGCAACCTTTATCCTAGGAAAAAGATGGGAAAATGTATGTGTCTGATGTGCAGGTAAAAAGCTGATAGCAAGAGTACCTCACCAGGTGAGCTTCCTGAAAGTGGATCAAGCACAAGGCTCAATCTACAACTTTCCTTTATTTTTTTTTTCTCATTCAACATTCACATTCCTTAATCATAGAATTATCTTCCACATCTCTTTGAAGAGGCAGTGGCTCCAGACACTGCCCTGTGAGAGAACCAGTGCCAACTGGGCAGCCTTTTCTTCCTGTGAACACCAATGGAGCCACCCAAGCTAGAAAAGGGAACAGAGGCAGCTGCAGCACGTTGGAGGAAATTACAGAGGATGTCAAGTGAAAGGCAGTTGTGGCTATGTAATTCTGGTCAGGGCCTCCCAATCCTAATTGCCTGCCATTTCAAAGACAACTATTATTTACTCCTTTCAGATGCTGGAGTGACAGAGGCAGCATGGCAGCAAAGTTCCAAAGTAGGATTCACCAGCCTTTCGTCCCTTCCCAGCCATTCCTTTGTCCTTAAACGGGGTAGGTCTCTGAACAAGACTGAATCCCCACTCCATCCCATTGACTGGTACTTTGCATCTGACAGATCTCCAAACTCCAGGTTAGAGGAGAAAAGGGAACTCCCCAGTCTCAGAGGTTCTGAGCTCCTGGATCCAACTGATTCAGGCACCAGGGCGTGAAAGAGTTGGCTCGTTTCCTAAACAATGAATGGTCTGGAAAATCTATGGTGACTGACAGCAAAGTTCATGGCGCGCCTGAGCCCACTCGGTTCCAATGACTCGGGTGTAGACAGTTTGCGAGGCATTTTATTTTACCATGGTGGTCCTAGTTGCCCATTCGCAGCTGCGTCCTTTTTGCAAATGCCTTCCCACCCCTGAGGTCACGCGCTCCACCTCGCGCCCCTTGCCCGCACTCTTCTGAGAGAGAGTCGCGCGAGGAGCCGGGGCGCCAAGTGCCTCCGTTCCGTCTCGACCAGGGGCTAGCGCGTGTAACAGGACGCAAAAGGGTATCTTTCTCGCTTTACTAGTGGGTCGGCTAAAGGAAAGAGGGTATCGGGGTCCGGAAGTATCCCAGCACAGCTCGGGCAAGAACGGGCAACTAGGCCCAGTTAACTAAGACGGGGCGGGGGCGGCGTACCCGGCTGTCCCTCCAGGCGCTCCGTATTCGTCCGAACCCCCGTGCAACCGCAGAAAACCGCCACACCCCTCAGTACACTACTTCCTTCCGGCCCGTCGCTCCAATGACGCCATCACGCGAGAAGGCCACGCCTCTTTACAGCTCTCCCTAGTTGATCGGCCTCGCCCCGCTCCTCGGGCTGCTGGTGGTCAGTGTCAGCCTATGACCACCAGGGAGCACCCGCGAGTCGGTCCGGGCGGTTCCAGAGTTTGTTCAAGGATTTGGTGGGTAGAAGGATAGGGTGGAGGAGCTCCAGTAGAGTGAGCTCTCGGGAAGTCGTGCTGGGCAGTGGGTGCTGATCGGGCAGGCGTAGGGTTAGACCAAGGAGTCAATTCCCGAATTAGGAGATTTCACCGCGTTCCACTCCACATTAGGTCAGCCCACTGATTTGGAGGTGTGGGGGGCGTAGAGAAGTATTTTTTTTTGGAACAGAAAATAAGAGTTTCAACCGCTCCTGGTGTTGCAGTCCTGTTGTGGCGCTGTGGGTTACTGCGCCAGATTGTGAACTGCAAAATTGGCGGTTCAAGCTCACCAGCTGCTCCTCAGAAACCCTACACAGGGTCGTTATGGGTTGGAACCGATTCGACGGCACTTCACAACTGTTCTAGCCTTTTGATTGGTCCCTTTCCTAGCTAAAAGAAACAATTTTTAAAGTATCCGCATAAACACCTTTACATCGCCAATCAACACTTTCTCATTTGAATTGTACTTTTTCTAGGAGCTTTGGCCTTTTGAGGTCTCTTTGGTCCTCCAAAGGAGTCCTGGTGGTGCAGTTGGCTAACCGTTCGGTTGTTCACCGGAAACCACCAGTGGACCACTAGCAGTTCTGCGGTAGAGAGATGAGGCAGTAGCCTCTGTAAATCAATCCTTTAGGACAGTTCCATTCTTCTATAGGGTCACTGAGAGACTGATCTGACTCCACAGCACTGGGTTTGGTCCTCCGTAGCACCGTACAGTAGATTCAGAAGGAATTATTACCCCCATTTTAATAAATGTGCTTTGGAGTTGGTTCAGACTCCGAAGAGCAGCTGGAGGGTTTGAACTGCCAACCTTGTGGTTTGCAGTCCAGTACTGATCCTACAGTGCCAGTTCAATAAAATACATCCGCGTGAAGGAACGGGACCAGAATCTAGACTTTGTCTCCTAGTCTAAGGTACCATGGTACCATCCTCATCCTTCACTGTTTAGTAGCATCATATGGGCACATTTCAAATTCAGCTACTAAAGTTCTTTTGTTTGCAGCAGAGAAGTGTAAGTTCCCATAATTACAGGGAGAACAGCAGGTTGGTGTTGGTAGGCAGGTTTAAAAACCAATTGTTACCAGGTCGATTCTACTCATGGTGATCTCAGAGTAAAACTCTGTTCCATAAATTCATTTTCCTGCATAGGTTTTTCATTGGCTGATTTTTTTATTTCCAAGGCACCTCTGAGTGGACTTGAGCATCCAGCCTTTTGGTTAGCCGCCAAGCCTGTTAACCATTTGAATCACCCAGGAATTCCTAAACAGATTTAGGATACAGAAAAAGGAATGTGAAGGTGGTTCTTGGAATTGACCCATTTTCTCCCTGGGTTTGCTCTGGGTGAGCCTGAGTTGGGATGTTACAGTGTTACATAGTTAAGCCCACAAGTAGACTGGATGGTGCTGTCTGGGAATCCTGTACCCCCCACCTCCTTTTATGTGAGCCACCTTTTCTACTCTCTTCTTTCTGCACCCTACCAGCCCCACTCAAACACACAACCCACAGTCAGTCCATCACAGAGCTGACCTGACCAGAAGTTGAGAGCTTTTTCTCTTGAGGTTCAATGATTTAGCTCAGCTGGGTATGCTTAATATGTTTATGTAATAGTTGAGTGAATGAGTGAGAGAAATGGAAATGTTGGGATTTGTCAACCCAAGGAATGGTGCCTATTCTGTGGCAAAAAGGATTTCAGTTAGACTTGGTTTAAGAATTTTATGACTATTAATGGACTACTTGGAATGGACTGTGAGAGGAAGTTGTGCGGCTTTGTTCTCCAGAGGCTTGTCCTAGATGCAGGGAGTGTATGTAATTAGATGATGAGCTGACTCCACTGCCATGGAGTCAGTTCCGACTCATAGCAACCCTGTATGTTGTTGTTGTTAAGTGCCCTCAAGTCTATTCCAATTCATAGCAACCCTGTATAAGGTTTCTAAGGAGTGACTGGTGAGTTTGAACTTCTAACCTTGTGGCTCAAACAGACTTTGCAGTTCAGTGCTTTATCCTACAGTGCCACACCAGGACTCCAGTGACCCTGTATAAGGTTCTCAAAGCCCCCTTAAGAGACTTGTAATTATTATGAGTCAATATCCAAAGTAACTAAGCAGATAGGTCTGTGGTAAATAGTTTAACAGAAGTGTTTAAAAGAGTACTTTCTAAAAACTTGAAGTATAGACCGGAGAATAAAGACAGAGAGTCCAAAGTCAGACTTCCTGGGTTTGAATCCTGGACCCCACCTCTTATTAGCTCTGTGCCTTTGGGAAAAATTAATCTGTGCCTTAATTTTTTTCATCAGGAAAGGGATAGCCTGAAATAAGAAAGCTAGTAAATAGCAAAGATGGCATTCAAATGACCCCCAAGTCTATTTATTTTTCATAGTAAGAAAATTGAAAAATGGCTCAACTAAAACATACACACGTGCCACATTTATAATCTTTCAGGAATGTAGACCGAACTCATTTCCGTTGAGTTGATTCTGACTCATAGCTATTCTGTAGGACAGAGTAGAACTACCCCATTAGTTTCTAAGGCAGTTCAAAACTACCAACTTTTGCTCCCGTAAAGATTTACAGTCTCAGAAAACCTATACAGGGTCGCTATGAGTCAGAACCAACTTTACAGCACATAACTAATCACCCAATCTTTACAGAAGCAGACTGCCACATCTTTCTCCCTTGGAGTAGCTGGTGGGTTCCAATTGCCAACTTTTGGTTAGCAGCCGAGCATTTAACCACTGTGTCACCAGCAATCCTTTGGAATGTAGACTTTGCTATTAGGTGCTGGTGAATCAGTTCCAAATCATAGTGACCCTATGCACAACAGAACAGAACACTGCGTCATCCTCATAGTTGTTAAATTTGAGTCCATTATTGCTGCCACTGTCAGTTCATCTCGTTGTGGTCTTCCTCTTTTTTGCTCCATTTTACCAAATATGATTTCCTTCCCCAGGGATTAATCCCTTCTGATAACACATCTGAAATATGAGAGATGAAGTCTTACCATATTAACGTCTAAGGAGCATTCTGGTTACCCTTCTTCTAAGACAGATTTTTTTGTTCTTCTGCCAGTTGATTTTGGAGTCCTGCTGTGGTGCTGTAGGATAAGCACGAGACTGCTAACCTCAAGGTTCATGGTTTAAACTCACCAGCTGCTCCTTGGAAACACTATACAGAGTCACTATGAGTCAGAACTGACTTGATGGCACTTAAAAGCAACAATATGGTGCTTTTAATATTCTTCAACACCATAATTCAAATGCACTGATTATTCTACAGTCTTTCTTATTCATTGTCCAACTTTCACATGCATATGAGGCCATTGAAAATACACTGCTTACTTCAGAAGCACCTTAGTCCACAAACTTGGTATCTTTGCTCTTTAACACTTAAAAGAGATCTTTTGCAGTAGATTTACCTAATGCCATACAAGGTCAGGGGTTTGAAACTACCAGCTTCTCCAAGGGAGAAAAATGAGGCTTTCTGCTCCCATAAAGATTTACAGCCTCGGAAACCCTGTTCAGGGTCGCTATGGGTTGGAACAAACTTGACGGCACTTAACAACAACAAA